TTATATTATATTTTTGTTCTTATTTAATATGAGCATCCGCCAGTGTAAAAGTTATTCATATTGCATTGGAACAAAAATCGCTATAAAACAGAAATATATATCACATTTAAGTAACAAATATGTTATGCGTGTATATCACTTTTTGAAGAAGCAATGTTTCATTGATTCAATTAAACCATATATTCACATTACATAAATGCTCAAAAAAAGAAAAATGAAAAAAATTCTTATGCCTGGATAATAATTGTCGTTGTATAAAATCACCAATCACAGCAGCACACCTCAAAACTCAAAAGGTCACAATCCTGCTTATCTTAAGCCATTGTTAGATTTAACACTTGTGGGGTGTGCTCATGAGGAACGTGCGCTTCTTGTTTTCTTATATGTCTGCGGCATTAAGAATTCCTTTGCTCTTTTCTGGAAGTTTCTCCCAATGGCAACATAGAGAATGGGGTTAAGGACACTGTTGAAAAAAGCTAAGTACACAGTAATTTGTTTGTAGATGTCAAGTATGGTGTGACACCTCACAATACCAACACGTTCAAGCACATCTAGTATCCTGCTCAACTGGAATGGACCCCAACAAATTTGGAATGCCAGAAGAACTACCACGATGAGAGTGGTAGCTTTCTGCTCTGTCCCATGCCCCTTTGGCCTGTTTCTCAGTGCTTGAATAATCTTGAGAGCGCAGAGGGAAATAATGGAAACAGGGATTACGAAGCTGAAGATTATGGTTATTGTCTCATATACTAGATGTTGGTCTTTAGTGAAGAGAATGTCACATGCAGTAATATTTGATGTACTGGGGATTAACTTCCTGTAGATTAATACGGGGAGTGCAAAGATAACGCCAAGAATCCACACAACTACACATGCCAGCTTGGCATAAAATGGCCTACACATGCTGTGATGGGAAAGTGGGTGCACCAGACCCACATAACGATCTATGCTAACCAGAACAAGGAAGTAAATGCTGCAGAATGCATTCATTTTTATTATGGCAGGTATCACTTTGCACAGGCTCTCACTGAAAGCCCAATTAAAGCCCTGTCCTACATAGTCAGCCCAGAAGGGCAAACAGCACACCAGAACAAAGTCAGCTCCAGCCAAGTTGCTCAAGTAGATCTCAGCTACTGTGCAGGCTTTCTTGTGGAAGCAGAAAACCATCAGCACAAATGCATTAAAGATGATTCCAAGCACACTGATGGCCAGGATGTAGGATGAACCCAGAGTGAAGATCAAACTATTTGGCTCAAGATTAGTACAATTTGTATTGTTTTGGTTTCCAGACATCGTTACAGGGATGAGGTTGACAGGGATACTGCAGAAAAATAGAGAACAGAGTACAGATAAAACATTATTGTAGGCTAACTTTCACAATTATTTTTCTTTTCCTTTTTTCTTTCAAAAGAGGGAAAAAAATATCCACACTTAAAGTATTCCATGCAGGGAAGTTAATAATGACAAAGTGAGTGGTCCAAGCTGTCATCGTTATATTTAGGGGTAGATTTAATCTACACCGGTATAAAACCGTCTTTTGGCATTAAAAGATACTGTGGGCGTTTACTAAAAAGGAACAGTGTCGACTTTAAGACTAAAATCCGCAGGGGCAAGTGACAAGATGATGGTACAGTTGCAAAAATGTACCCATGTGAGTGAAAGGTTGTTGGGGTGATCTCTCATAACAGTGCCTTAATTTATATACAAAGATGTTGTCAGTTCATTTCAGTAATTACCTACCAAGAGCAGAGACTCAAAAACGAGCACGCCCAATGAGTTAAAGTAGAGGTGTCAATGAAGTCCTGAAAGAAATATTACAGTGTAAGTGCAGGTTTTAAACCTGTTTCTCTATGAAAACAGTCTAGCAGTTAAGGTAAATGAGAGCAAGAAGAAGAAATATGGTTTTGTCTAAGGATGAACTCTTCTTAGAAACTTATGAGACAGTGTGAGATTCTGAGGACTGAGACTCAGGTGCAGTGCAGATTTATCGAGCGGTGAGTTTATTCCAAACTACTCCATCATCTGAACATGAGCATATTATTGTAGTCCATATTATTCCACTGCCTATTCTACGAGCTGTGAGGCTGCAGAAACCTATTATAGCCTAAATTACCCATATTATTCAGACAGTAACCCGACGCGCTAACATAATGACATCACAGCTACAGTTATAAATATGATATGCTTGTCTCTCTTTAATGGCCAGAAAAAAAACAAAAAAAACAAAAAAACAACAACGTAAAAATCCCTGTGTGGTACTGCTGAGAAAAAAAACGCAGAGACGGTTTTTAATAAAATTCTAGTATCACTACTTAAGAGCAGGAAGTGCCCACCTCTAAAAACGCAAGGTTGGGATTCCGTGGAGAGTTTTGTCCCGGCGCTCACAGCTTAGAGGGATCCATCCGTCACAGTTACGCACGCTGATAATATTTCCTCATCTTATTCCAAATAAATGAACACTTCAGCTCCATAATCAACATTAAGAGGTGTTTTTTTTTTTTTTTTCAAAGTTACATTTAGCGTCCAGGAAATCTAACAAATCAGGTTTACATGCTTCTTTTAAATGCTCTCCTCCCAAAGTTTTTTTTTAACCCGTAAAGAAAACACTCCTACAAATACTTCACCAATAAGGCAAGCCACCAAAATACCTGCTGTGCCCACACCTTCCATCAAACTGGCACTGCACCTCCTCATTAAATCCCGACCGCAGCGCTTCAGCTTTCTCGTCTTTCCTCAGACCGGTTCGAACACCGAAATGTCTTAGTGTCTTAGATTAATGCCAGATTCTGATTCAATATGTAATACTGGCTTCAATAGATACCAAGCATTTAAAAACAAACCTCAGATGAGTGCTTTTATGCACATTATTGTCACGGTCTGGGAATGTGAGGGAAAGGAGGACCCAGGGGCGGAGCTCTGTGTGTACACAGTGTGGTAAATACTGATGCACAACTAATCCCCGCGCTCCCCAAGACTCCCGTGTGCATCTTCCAGTGGCGTCCGTGTTCGTGCTCCGCGCTGTCGTGACTCTGCACACCCTGTGCGTGCTGTGCTGTCCTTCCTCTCCACGCTCCTCCTGCAGGGAAAACAATGGAAGCAGCCGTTAGACCCCTGCGGGCAAACACGATCTGTACTTCCTGGACTAACACATCCTGCGCCGGAGGAAGCCCCATCGCTCTGTTAAGTAGCTCCCCCGACGAGCTTGATCAGAAGCAGGTGTGTGAGAACCTATGCGTGACCAGCAGCTGGCAGGGCCACACCCATCGCGCTGTGGAAGTTTCTTAACATGCACAGCGTGTATGTTAATTGAAGGGTGTTTTTAAAGTTTTGTGCGTTTTATCATTAACAAGTAATGGCAAAAAACTGAAAACCCTGTTACTGTTGACTTGTTAATCCCCTTTGCAAATATTACTATAGAGGAGAAAGGGAGAAACATGAAGGATTAAAAAACAACCAAAATTAAGTTTGGCTTGCAGGCAAAAGAATCTGTTCTCCAGGTGGAAAAAAGGCCAAACGAGTTCCTACTAAATAGCTGTCTCTGTTATTCTTACTTAAAAGAGAAAGCAAACTGAATTTAAAGGAATATATAATGACTCACTCTTTAGCCAGCTCTTCTGCTTTTCAGTCAATGCAGCCTTTGTTTTTTCCACTTCAAGTAGCACTTTGTCTCTTTGCGTGGTTCATTTTTATGGTGTTGGTTCAGATATTGTTTTATGGACCTTTATAGACTCGGGCCTTCTATGAACATAACATCTGAAAAAGCGTTTGAACTGCTCCATTAAGCTCAGAATGCAAATACTATTGTTATCAGTTGGTGGAATAATTGAGAGAATCTCTCACTAAACATTGGGTTGGCATTATTTTCCATTTCAATTATTGCATAATTTTGTGTTTTCGTGTGAGCTATAGGCCACACCTATGTGGAAGTGGAGATTCCCCTCTAGTCCAGCAGTCAGCTATTTGGAGATTACTGCACGGAGTGGTTGATTGGTGATGATTTGAGCCCATCTATATAAAGGGGGAGAGAAAACAAGAATGAATGGGTTTTTGTAGGACACAGTTGCAGCAGGGGAAGCTGGCCGGAAAGGGAGACTCCAGTGACAGACGAGGACAAGGAAAATAGTATTAGATTAATAGAGATTAATAGATTAATAGAGTATTAGAGCTCAACCCGAAATCGCTTCCTTTATTCTGTATCATAGCGATATGAAAACATTTACACTAAACAAACAGAAAATACTCCACTTTGACACATGCAATTTTCTCTCAAATGAAACCATTATTTTATGTTCATGTTTAATCCCCAACAAAGTAACATTTACATGGACAGAACTTTTAAGAAAATTAATATTTATATCATGTTATTTCCATAGTCCCCGTGTGGTTCAGTGTATTCTGTTAAGTTTACTGGGATGTGCCAATATGTCCATGAGATAAATCCGATACTGGCAGCCCGCTAACCACAAAACTAGTGTAGAGATCTGCCTGCAAATACAGATCTCTACACTCTCTACAACTGTCAACAGGCAGTTACAATGTAACAGCTGCCCGTTGACAGTTCAAAGCCTGCCACTGAGTGGACAGGTACGCCTGGAGTTTGTTAATCCTTTGTAGTTTAATCACAGCTTACCAAATAAAGGCTTATCAAAGGTGCTGAGAACCATAGCCATCCATCTATTCTTTTAACCATTCATCTAGTTCTGGGACGTATGAGGACTGGAGTCTATCCCTGCTGTCATACGGGGAATCCACACTGGACTGGGCCAACACAGATTTACATTAACACCCACATTCACCACAACTGCCAAACTGAAATCACCAACTAATCCAAAGTATAAAATATCTAATAACTCACATAATGTAACTTAAAATGGGATGTACGTTTAATTTAAAACATTATTTTTGATTTAGAACTTAAAGTTCCCTGATGTGTAGATATTTATTTACGACAGCGGACTACAGCAGATGCCAATAAATAAGGATTATTGAGTTTTTGCATTTACACTGATCTAGCAAGGTGATATATCGCAAGTTCACTGTATAAATGTTTCACAATCATGAATACACAGAAGCTGCCACTAAAAGCGATGTTTGAGTACGAGGCATACAATTCGCTGTTTTTCATATACTGTTACATACATGCAGAGATTAATACAGTGTGCAGGTAGTTCTTCTGTATTGGTAGGTTAAATGTCTCTTTGGAGTCACTGGAGTGGGAAAGGAATTCTTTACAATGTAATACACAACAGTAAGTAATACTGCGCAGCACAACAGGTTTGGTGGTTTACAGTTCATCACTAAAGTATTCCAATCGGTAGCAGTAAAACCGCATAATGTTGCAGCACAGAGACATATGAATACACAACCACTCACATGTACAGTGTGGAACATCTAACCATTAAAATCTTGTGTTAATGCTTTTAACGTTGTTAACCTTCTTTCATCTCCTTTGTGTAGTCGTTCCATTATATTAGCTTGTGTCCATTACTTATGTAATAGAGAATAAATGTGGTAATGCGATTCAATTATGTAGCAGTGTTATTATTGCATTAGATCTGAAAGCATATCTAATAAAATATAACTGAATAAAAAAAGATAAAGCAGTAGAATGGCAGATTCAGATTCGTGTCTCAGATCCTGTTATACCGAAGCTATACCGGATCCTTGGCTTTGAAAGCAACCCCACCCTTGTTGCTTGAACTTTTGATGTAAAACAAGAGATGTGGATTATATTTGTGTGTGTGTGTGCGTGTGTGTGTGTGTGTTCAGGGCACTGTTGATTAAAAAAAATCTACAATTTAAAAAAAAATTCTTCACAGTACATATATCTTCCATTAGTCACTTCTACATCACATTCTCCAGAAACGTGGAACACTGCCCAAAAGAATAAAGATTTTTTCAATTTCCTTCTAACTTTGCCTGATTAACAGTTCTAGTTAATCCTTATCCATCTTGGCTTTTAGTGAAGCCTCTTAGTTCATTCTTGCTGTTGCAGCTTCTTCTCTCTGAGCCAACTTTATTCTGAGCATGACTTAAATAGTAGGTGTTTGGGACTGCTGTGCTCACAGCCAGAGCTGTATACCTGAGATGATAATATCAAGGATATCACTCTCACTGACATTATGCAGAGCCAAGACTCTAAATGCTCAAGAGACTGTGCGTTACTTTCAAATATGCTTCTTTGATATGGATATCCACCAAATTCCTGGTATTGTATGTGCATAGAATTAGGAAATAAAATAGCAGCACCACTCAAGGCACTCAAACCTTACTACTACTTTCTGAAGAAACGGTGTAATAAACAATGTTAAATAAACCCTATATATTCAGATTGCCTAAATATTTTTTTTTCTCATGCTTGGGTGAATAATCACCCAGTTAATTTAAAATAACCAAAGCACACATCAAAACTCAAAAGATCAGAGAGCAGCTTGAGACTTTGTCAGCCTCAGAGTTGTTATGCGAGTTGACATGAGGCTGAATGTTTCTGTAGTCTTATTGTTCCACTGCTTGGAGAGTTCCTTAGCTCTTCTTCTGAAGTTTTTTCCAGCAATGACGTAGAGAATGGGGTTAAGGACACTGTTGAAGAAGGCAAAGTACACAGAGATCTGTTGGACGATGATCAGTGCAATGTGACATTTCAGTATGCCAGTGTTTCGGAGCACATCTAGTATCTTTGTCATATGGAATGGCACCCAGCAGATCAGGAATGCCAAGAGAACTGCCAGGATGAGAGTGGTAGCCTTCTGCTCCATTTTCTTAGAGTTTAAACCCTCCATTCGCCTGTTATTCAGTGACTGACAAATTCTGACAGTGCAGACGGAAATAACGATAATAGGGATGATGAAGCTGAAAATTATGGTTATCACCTCATATGCCAGATATTGATTTTGTGGTAAGTCAAGTGAACATTGAGTAAGATTTGACTGAGGGTTGAATACTAACTTCCTGTAGATGAACACGGGGAGAGCAAAGACCAAGCCAAGACCCCACACAAACAGACATCCCAGTTTGGCATAAAACGGCCGGCGTATCCTCTCATGGGAAAGCGGGTGCACCAGTGCCACATAACGATCTATGCTAACCAGAACAAGGAAGTAAATACTGCAGAACGCATTCATGTAGATAACAGCTGATGTCACTTTGCACAGGCTTTCACCGAAAGGCCAGTCGTATCTCTTTCTTGTATATTCAGCCCAGAAGGGCAAACAGCACACCAGAGCAAGGTCAGCTCCAGCCAGGTTGCTGAGGTATATCTCAGCCACAGTGCAGGCCTTCTTGTGGAGGCAGAAAACCATCAGCACAAACACATTAAAGATGATTCCAAGCACGCTGATGACCAGGATGTAGGGTGGAACCAGAGTGAAGATCAAGCTGTTGTTGTCAACAATACAATGGTTTTCACTTGTGTTGCTTTGGTTTCCAGACATCTTGACAGAGTAAGAGTTGGAATGGATGCTGCAGAAAAACAGAGGACAGCAAATAAAATATAAAATATTATTCTAAAAACAGTTTGATGTGAGAACATTATGTTATTTTGATGGCACACAGTACAGAGATACACAAAATTACGAGTAACACAGATATATAATGCAAAA